ATATGCGTGCGTCCTCAATACATTCGCGCTCAGAGCATCCATGCGTGGTAAAAATGTCTAAAGAGTTGGTTATGGTTAGTGCCGCATTTGTAGTCATTAGTAGTTTATTAAAAAAAAGATAAGAAAAATAGACGATGGTGGATGACGCATTTATTTAAAAGAAGAACTCGACATATGAGCTCCGATTTATTAGTAGATTTGGCTTTAGAACCAAATACCGGACAATTTCAAAACTTTGTACGTATGCCATTAGAAGACTTTGAATACCTAATGTAATGAAAAAGATACAGTGTTAAGAAAGGCCATATCTGCTAAAGAGCGCCTAGCTATAACATTAAGTTTTCATATTTAATTCTTTTGAAATTGTTTCCCATGTATCCTCTTTCTTCGTTTTTGAACAATAGAACTTATTTTTTGGATCCCGTAATATAGGGATTTTTTCATATAGATCTATTAATTCCATACACTGTTCATTTGACCACTCCATTTTCCAGCGTCCAGCCACAAATACATATAAATATGTCAACAACTCCGCACTAGTTTCGCTTTAAACTAGAACGGTACAAAAACCCGTCCAAATTGAGCGCGAACGCACACGTATGTTTCTTTGATGTGCGCCAAAAAACCGACACCGTCTGGCTCACGGTATGCGCGCTCAAGTCATTCGCGAGAGGTAACGCATGCGGCGAGAGGCCACGCAAACGCCGTCCAGATTTGCATACGTATGTGTATGCGTAGCTTCTCACCGCATGCGTGTGCAGGTTTGTACGCACCTTAAGGGTCAATACGACTGTGCAGAGAGAATACACATGGAAAAGACGTAGGACACACAACCAAACCCTGTGGCAGGTGTCAATTGCCACAGGCGGGATTTGAACCCGCGCGGATAATAGCTCTCGGAGTAATCGCCATCTACTCACCTGGCGCTTTACCCACTGAGCTATCGCCGCGGCTATACCTATATACAGTACTTTCATAAAGTAGTGGATGCAATCGTCGTCATAGATTTTCTTCATGTAAGAATCGCTCAGACACGTCAAAGAATAGATACGGACAGATACGATAATGGATCGCGTAAGAAAAAAATCGGCAAGAAAAAATCAATGTAGGTCGATGAGAAAATGTCAGGTATCCCAAAGCATTGTGACCCATTTTGATCGTAAATATCTTTTGACAGAGCGAACTTAGAAATATGCGGTTTTCTCCAGTCGATTTAGTAATTCAAAAAGTTTTTTCGTACTATGTTAAATACTTGTCACTTGTCCTACGGAGTGTTTTTGAAATGTGGTCTAATTCAACGTTAACATTCGCTACTATTTTAAATGCAACACCCTATTTACACCAAACAAAAGCTGTAATCTTCCGCTTTACAAAAATGTATAGTTTGTTACACTTTATTTTCAAAATGGGTTAGTAATTTGATTTTTAAAAACATTCCCAGAAAATTGTGACCCATTTTGATCGTAAATATCTTTTCACGGAGAGATAAGAATGCGGTTCTCGCCTATTGATTTACTTTTTCAATAAGTTTTTCTGGTACTGTGTTAAAAACTTGTTACTTGCCTTACAGGGAGTTTTAGAGACAATGATCAATTTCAATGTAAATAATTGCCATTACTTTGAATACAATAGTCGGTATATGTTTACACCAAAAAAAATGTTGCATTCTTCCGCTTTGCAAGGATGTATGGTTTGTTACATTTTACTTTCAAAATGAACTAGTAACTGAAATTAGTAGAACAAAATTAAAGAAAAATTTACCTACTTCATTTAAGTTAAGAAGTCTCTGGAATTGTTATTTCATTATTGCTATGAGATTTTCCAAAATTAAACGTGTGGAGTGCGATATCCCAACAAAAAAATGTATGGTTCTTTCTTTTCAATGGGGAAAATGACTGGCAAAGTTTATACGAATATGTTGCAGATTTTTTCTACCCTTCTACTCTTGGAACAGTATCAAAATAGCTTTATGGTATTTTTTAAATAACATGGTGTTCCATCTCATTATTCGTTTCTTCTAAGGAATTTTGTAACAGAAAGCTTTGGGAATGGACCTGGGAAGAGGTGGATAGGAAGTGCTGGCCAAATGAGTGGCAATCGCACACTCATCGGAATAAACAGTGCTAGATTTTCTTATATGAGGTGTACCTATTAAAAATGTATGCTACAATCTCATTCCGCAAAGCGCTGAAAAGTTGCACCGAAACATTGACAGCAGTTTTCAAGGGATTTCTCCAGAAATTGAGTAATTCATTTATTATTTTGGTATTTAGATTTCAGAAGTGAAAAAAAAACGTCATCAAATCTGATTATGAACGGGAAAGATGGAAATAGTGGTTACGTCGAGGCGAAACTTTGTTGTCAAAAGTGGTTGTCACAATTGTAAAACAAATAATGGAATTCACATTTAATGAAGAACAGGTGCATGTTTTTTATCATTACCATTTTAACTGGTCAGTAAAAGGTCTCTTAAATTGTTTCGGCAAACTGGAAGCATCAATCGGAAACAAGGAAGTGGCAGACCCAGAGTAACGGCCAATACAAGAATATCGATGATCCATCTGAGCCAACAAGTTAATCTGCCCGATACAACGTGTTAACGAATTTTGAAAGATTCCCATTCAACCGACTGTGTAGCTCTGCTAATAAAAAAAGTTACCCGAGCAAAGATGATATATGTAAAATGACCACCTTGTATGTATGTAGGTGTACTGCTAAGAAATGGTCTCTGAATTTATCTTATGAGACGTATACTCAGAAAACCTACGCAGCATAAGCTTTATATGAGAATTGCGAATACTATAGACACTACCGAATAAGAATCTACAATCGTATGCATACATTGGCTGGTTATGAAAAAGGACAAATTCTACACTTCTCGTTCTAACAGTTAGCGTAGATGGGGAAAGGGTCAGTCTTATTCCCCCACTACCTTCGATGCGTATGCAATTGCTTCTTATCTGTCGTGTCACTTCTATTTGTCCTTTTTCACAAATGTCTTATGTATATATACAACATATTTTATATAATTGGAAATAAACTCTTGGAGTGGAGACATAAAATTGGAGTGGGGAAATAAATATAAAATAACCCAGTGAAATTAGACATTCCACTTCATAAAAATTTCCGGAAACCTGAATTTTGGCATAAACCTTGATATTGCGTTTCTAAACATAATATATTTGGTGAATATCTTGTATAACTGACACTATTACACTTATTTTGATTTTTATTCTTAAGAGCAACAGTTTCGAATATAATTCGGTTTACAGTTGTAATCTTCATGTTTCTCATGAAACGTGCACTCCTTTCCACATTCCTTTTGAGGTAGTAACTGTACAAGGTGTGTTTTTTACGTAGTATCCCCAGTAGATTTAAAGCAGCCCGGAGAAGGTCAATAATATTGTCAATTGCAATTGCGATTGATGGAAGTTCAATGAACACGTCAATCTTCATCAATTGCTCAGTGAATTTCTCGCAAGGTCGTGTATTGATTGTTTGTGAACTTGATGGTGAATTTGATGGTGTCAAATGATGGTGTCAAATACAGATTTGGGCTTTTTGGCATTAACTTTGGCTGCCTGCAGCCAAAAAAAAAAGCTAAGACGAAAGAGAAGAAGAGGAGACGCTGGTTTGCAACGCTATAGTTTTTTATTTTTGTTCATATAATCCTTCGATCTCCACAACACTGGCTGGTCGCGAAACAGCGCGATTAACATCAAAACAAAGTCCCTATCCGCGATGTTTTCGATTTCCACGGAGCTCAGCGGCGTATCCATCATCGCAACCGTTTGGTAAACAACTGCTCAATCGATTGTCAATTGCTCGATTAACGATCAATTGGGATGCGTCAATCGTCCCCGTCAATGTGCTTCAATCAAATTTCCTGTCAATCTCCGTCAGTCGCCGTCAATCGATTGACAATAACATCAATCGCTTCCGACACGATCAATTATATGCATCAATGAGTACCATTGTCAATTTTATTGACAATATTATTGACCGCTTAATTAATATTTATTTTTGTAAGATTTAAGATATGAGGTGTCAACGAAAGAACAGGAATGACCAGGTTTCTTGAACTGTGTGGATTTGATAAAAGTTGAATAGCTGACTAGTTAAATAGAAGCTTATTATCCTGGGGCTTTAGACATGGCCATAAGAAAACGAATTCCACCGTTCAAAATGGAAGCGACTGTCTGCAGAAGGCTCCGTCTTAGTAAAGTCTGCAAAACTGATTAATTTATTATTTTCTTTCATATGGTTTGAGAATATTAAGTTTATCTTTCTTAAAAATTGCTGATGTCGTGCTGCAGCCTGTTATTGCATGTAAAAATAAAATATAATTTTGGAACTTCGGATATGAGTTCAAACTGCTAAGATCATATTTCATTTTTTACATGTAGACATGTTGCGACGCAAAATCAACAATTTTTAAGGCAGGTAGAATTTCTAGAAATTATGTGAAACATAATAAAAAAAAAAGAATTATTTATACAAAAATACGAATTTAATAAATTATGCAAGCATGCCTATACTGTACACTACAGTTTATCTTGTACAGTCAGTACAAAAATTGTTTATTGATACAGGAACATATTCAACTTTTGTAAAATCTGCACAGCTCAAGAAACCTGTTAAATTATAATTTTATCAATTCTTCCACCGACATCTAGTGCGGCTCAGAAGCATAAATGATTCCGGATCTATTATTTATTAAAATATATCATTCCTATCGGGTCTATTATCAAGTTCAACTAGGGCTAGGCAACGAGACTACTCCTGAAGACTGGGGGGTGGATGTTAAGGGAAAACATTTTGGAGACAATTCAAACTCTGCTTCCACCTGTTCCAGACTGAATACTAGCTTAAACTGCGGCTGAACAAGAAAAAGAAAACAACAAGTTGATGGAAGGAAAAGGATGCAGATTGAAATAGAGTCTGAATAATACACAAGGCAAAGACGTAGGACATACAACCAACCCCTAACAGGTGCCAACTGCCACAAGCGGAATTCGAACCCGCGCACATAATAGCTCTCGGAGTAATCACCATCTCACCTGGCGCTTTACCCACTGAGCTATCGTCGCGGAATACATTATATAATAACTCCTGTTTTGAATAAAAAAGTTATTATTGAACAATTTTATTACAATTAAGAAAAGTAAAAATTTTTCAAATAAAAATGAATGTACATATATTAGGCCTACTGGAAACAGCACGTAAAAAATTAACCTTGTACTCTATCTCACAGATGGTATGGAATGGTGATAATAATTGAAAGGGTTGCTCTTATGAATACAATTCATATCTTTTTTGAAAAAAAAATCATAAACTCAGAATTTGTAGCGAATTTTATAAATTTTAGAGAAAACGTATTAACTTTTTCTCTAAAGGTGATCATTCACGAAATATTTATGAAAAACCGTTTTTGGTGATCTTTGATCCAGCGTAAAATTTTTAGCGGCACTCGGATCAATGAGGACTTTCGACATTTTTTATAACAACATCCAAACCAGTGGCGGTGCGTGATATTTCAGTTAGCTATATCTTGAAAACGACGCATGGGGACCTACTTCACTTTTAAGGTGATGACTATACACCTCTTACAGAAAGGATTTATAGTGAAAAAATCGTCAGCAAAGGGTTGCGAAAAAGATTTTCAAAAACATTGGAGACTCCCTGGGTTCTCAGTAACGCTCTGTGGGATATTTGCAGTATATTTTTTTCATAATCTAGAAACAAAATATAAGGAGATGTTTTTCGATTTGTTGCAAAATATTTTTTTTTTCAAAAAGTTATGGCCATTTTAATTTTAATTTTATAGGAACATTTTGTTTCCCAAAATTAAAATGGCCATAACTTTTTGAAACAAAAATATTTTGTAACAATTCGAAAAACGTCTCCTTATATTTGTTTCTAGATTATGAAAAAAATATACTGCAAATATTCCACAGAGCGTTACTGAGAACCCAGGGAGTGCTCCAGTGTTTTTGAAAATTTTCTCGCAAACTTTGCTGACGGTTTTTCACTATAAATCTTTTCTGTAAGAGGTGTATAGTCATCACCTAAAAAGTGAAGTGGGTCCCATGCGTCGTTTTCGAGATATTGCTAACTGAAAAATCACGCACGCCACTGATCCAAATAACATACAAAAATCCAGCTTTCCAGTTTTTTTTTTCGAATTTGGGCTTTTATTTCTAATTTCTCTGGACTATAATCCTGTGCAAGTAAATTTTTCATTATTCCAATTTCCTCTATCAGCGCAAATAATTAAACGAATCTTCTCTTTCAGTTGACTTATTGGCTACTTCAGGTGACATAACCCTATCATGGACGTCCCCGGTGTACCCTAAGCTGTATTCGAATGACACCTCCATCAACCCGCTGGGTAAACCGATCACAGAAGACGAGGACGGTTGGATAGGATCCCTTGTGACCATTGGGGCGATGATCGGCCCGCTGCCGTACAGTTTCATCTCGGAGCATTTCGGACGAAAGATAAGTCTGTTATGTATTGCGATACCGCACGCTGTTGCGTACCTCAGCATGGCGTTCGGAAAAAGCGTCTATTTCTACTATTTTGGTCGACTGTTTGGAGGTATAGCTGTGGGAGGAGGTTATACCATACTGCCGATGTATATCGCAGAAGTTTCGCAGGACTCCAACAGAGGAATGTTGTCGCAGACTCTAAACGTATTCTGGGCTATTGGAAATTTCTTACCGTACGCCATCGGACCGTTCATTTCAATAATGTGGTTCAATATCATACTGGCGTGCATTCCTGCGACATTCTTTATACTTTTCTCACTATTGGCACCGGAAACTCCTTACTACCTGGTGGGAAAGAATGAAATAGAAAAGGCGGAAAAGTCACTAATGTTGCTACGGTCAATTAGTAAAGAAGGCGCTCAAAAGGAACTGGAACATATCAAGCTGCATTTCAAAAAGGAAGAAGACGGTCATTTCCTAGACATCATCAGGAATAGAGGTCTTAGAAAGGCGTTCATAATTTGCATTATTTTGATAATCGCGCAAGAACTAAGCGGATTCTGTGCCATCACATTTTACCTGCAACCAATATTCGATGCGGCCGAAACTTCGCTGAGTTCTGACATTTCCGCTCTCATTGTAGGCTTTACGATATTCGCTTCGAGTTTTATTATCCCATTTCTGATTGACCGACTGGGCAGAAGAATACTGACGATTTGTTCCTGTGCTGGAATGTTCGTAGCGTTAGATATCCTAGGTGCCTTCTTTTTCCTAAAAGATAAGACTTCCGTTAGTGTTGATTCGCTTCTGTGGATGCCAATTTTCAGTTTAATTTTCTTTATCATATCGTTCAATTTTGGTATCGGCTCTGTTCCTTGGACTCTCGGCTCGGAATTGTTTCCCAGCAACGTTAAACATATTTCTTCTTCCGCCTTGTCCAGTTCATGCTGGATCACCTCCTTTATGGTCACTAAATTTTTCAATAACATGAACGACACAATGGGGCGGGCGGGTACCTTCTGGTTTTTCGCTGGTTGTTGCCTTGCTGCCACCATTTTCAGTATAATTTTCGTTCCGGAAACGAAAGGAAAAAGTTTTGTAGAGATACAGGATATGCTGCAGAACGGATCTCATCATAAAAAGGACACCGACAGTGAGGGTCAAGAAACAATAAAGAAGCGGTTTTAATATCTACTGCAAAAACAATTTATGTGCCCAACTGTGATACTAGACAAGAGTTTTATCAGCAAAATGTATGTAACTCAGCATCTGAGGATCCTTTTATAACTAGTAGTGTAAGAAGGGCTGGAAGTACCTTCTGTTACTTATTGTGTAACGTCCATGTTTAGTATCCGAAATTATTTTTTCCTTCATATTACATGATAATCATTGATATTGCTTGATATACATGTGTACCGTATACTCTTGTACCAAGTATTTATAAGTATCTTGTACCAAGATAGCTATACGGCATGAAACAAGAATTCCCAGAAGAGATGTATAGAGACAAAACTGAAAGTTTTTTTGTGTAACTCAACATCACCAAATAGTTCCCCGAAAATAGTTCCCTGGGACTGTGAGGATGTCGCGATCTTCTCGTGATGTAATCATAGTGACCTATGGCAAAAGCAGTTGTCTTGTATAAAGAACTGACTTTTTATTTACTGAGTCCATCTGGCAAATTAGGGACCAAATCAGTAGCGGTCGGTGGAATTTGACATGCTCGTATTTTCGTAAGGAGGCATTGAACCCACACAATAATTTAGGGGTGGTTACTAGACCTAAGTAGAAGGCTATGATTGTAAAAAATAGTAATTTTTTTCCAAAATGGCTGCCTCCAGGCAATCTTGAAACGGCTCGCAAAATATTTTCGAAATATTTTTTTTCATAATCACCGAGTGAATACATTTTTTTTATATTTGTGTTTTTCTTGACATTGTGAGATCTGTAAAAGTTATGGTAATTTGAATTTTTTATTTCATCCCAACATTTCGCGTATGAGATTTAACAATTTTGTTGTATCTTTAAGCAAAATAAGAATTCACAAAGCAAAAATCACAAGTATTAAAAAAATTGTATTTACTCGGAGGTTATGAAAAATATTTCGCAAATATTTTGCAAGCCGTTTCCAAGATCTGCCCGGAGGCAGTCATTTTTGGAAAAAGAAATTCGCAAGTTTTCTCTGAAGATGTTTTGCCATGATAGCCTTCTACTTAGGTCCAGTAACCACCCCTAAAATATGGTGTGGGTCCCATGCCTCCTTACGGAAATACGAGCATGTCAAATTCCACGGACCGCCACTGGACCAAATTCATTTCACAGTTGCACAAATTAACGTTTGGTTCGGACTCTAGTATGTATATACCTAAAATAGTTTATTGCAGTTTAATGAAATAGTTTATCCACTCTCAAACATACTATTTTTAATCATAATAAATACTAAATAATGCGGAATATGTTTTTTATTATTTACTCCTTTGAGGTCCAGTCGAATTGTTTGCAATTGCAATTTCGATTATAAATACTCGTACCTTTGAATATTTCCTAAAACAATGTTGACAAATGTATGCCAGTTATTATAACTGATATCTATTATCTATGGGCATACATCAGTATGCCCATAGATATTGCAATTCATCATTATGAAACTATCAATATTTCTGTTAAAAAACAACAATAACTAATTTAACAAACGACTAATCACATTAAATTTTGATATAACCGTCTCAAAAGAGTCCCTACTTCCTCATCAAAATTCTCCGCAGGTTTTTCTATCATATCTTAAAAAATCTTTACGATACGAAGAATATGTAGATAATATTGAGTACAACTATGGTTTTTAAGGTATAGTATAACATCAGAAAATCCGAGGGACGCTTTTTAATTCTCCATTGACCTCACTGATTGTATCCACTCTCAAACATATTATTTTTACTCGTAATAAATACTAAATAATGCTGAACATGTTTTTTATTATCTACTCCTTTGAGGTCCAGTCGAATTGTTTGCAATTGCAATTTCGATTATAAATACTCGTACCTACCTTTGAATATTTCCTAAACCAATGTTGACAAATGTATGCCAGTTATTAGATAGTTCTCAAATGATATCTATTATATATAGACATACTTGTACATCATCATTGCAATTCCTCATTATGAAACTGTCAATATTTCTGTTAAAAAAACAACAATAACTAATTTAACAAACGACTAATCACATTAAATTTTGATATAACCGTCTCAACAGAATCACTACTTCCTCATCAAAATTCCGCAGGTTTTTATATCATATCTTAAAAAATCTTTAGGATACAGCCAGCACAGGCTTAAAAGAATATGTAGGTAATATCGAGTACAATTATTATGGTTTAATATAACATCCGAAAATCCGCGAGACACTTTTTAATTCTCCATTGACCTCACCGATAGGCAACCAATCGTACAGCAAAGCTATACTGTCCTTGAATATTTCAGAGCTGTTTGTATTAGACATGGTTCTTTTACCATAATACAAGTAATATGTACATACACATATGTAGGTACATGTCGTAAATATAGATATAATATATACATATGTATGTACATATGTAGATATT